AAGAGGCAGAGATGTTTGACACTGTGACCTGGTATAAATTGCTACAGTTTGATTGCTCTGGACTAGACTTTCCAATAGGAACTGAGAGTTTTCACATTAAGGAACATGCTTATCTCCTCAGAGTACTTGAGCTGATAGGGATGAGAAATATAGAAATTGGATATTAAAATGGGGGTGGGGGAGTCATGAAGTGGCTGGCTCATAAATTTTCATGGATATGCTTGCAATTAAAATGAATTGGAAGTAGGAAAGTTTATCCTTAATGTAGGAAATCAAAAATTGCTCAAGGGCAATATTAAATATTTCAATGCACCAAGGCCACCCCCTAGTTCTTCTACCCATATGCTGGAGTCCTGGTGTGGCGCTGTGGGTTAATACATTAGACTGCAAAGTCTGTTTGAACTGCAAGGTTTGTGGTTCAAGCTCACCAGCCACTCCTCGGAAACCCTGTACAGGGTCGTTATGGGTTGGAATAACTTAACAGCACTTAACAACAACAACAACCCATATGCATTTTCCCTGATGGTTCTGAGTAAGAGAAATGTAGGGGAAGACACTAAAAGGATTATATGATTCAGTTGTGAGTGATTGTTAACAGGATTCATTGTGATTGTAAAAACTTGGAAATCTAATGGGGGGTTAGTCTATTTTGCCATCCTGCTGGGTTTAAAACAAGCCATCTCAGAAGCAGGAAGGGGGAGATCCCATTACTATCAAGGAAGAGGAGCAAGGAGATCTCACGCACGTCCTTTGGACCCTTGAGATCCCTGCACATTGAAGCTCCTTGATCTTGTGCTCTTTAGACCCTGAGACCCTTTTGCATTAAGCTCCTCTGTCCAGGGACAGAAAGCTGTAATACAAGAAGAGCGGCAGAGGAATGAGTGGTAGAATCAAGAGCCAGAGCATGAGAGAGAGTGGTGGGGCTTCCTAGCCCATGGAGCAAGTAAAGCTGAGTGCCTAGCTTGCAGAGTGGGGTACCTCCAGACACTGAATTGGGGAGCTTGGTTTGCTAATGAACAGAGCTAGAGACCAGCACCTTCAGATTGGGGTTTGTGGAATGGTCTTTGGGCATTTATCAGCAGTGCTGCAAGACCTTTGTAGCATAGCTGAGCAGGGCAGAGACCAGGCCAAAGCCCAGAGAGAGGCCTGCCTGCAGGTATGGCAGAGAAAAGGCTCTCCTGATCACAGAACTGTGTCCTGAGCATTTCTGATCCTGAATTATAACCTATTAACTTCCTAATAAGCCCCATAATTGTGAGTATGATCTGTGAGTTCTGTGTAGTGGAGAGATAGAGTGCTTTGGGAGGGGTGACTTAGATCAGAATCGGTAAGGAAGGTTAGGGGGGAGCTATCTCTCATCCCTGCCTCATTGGAAACAGCCTTAGGCTGATGCTGAGTTTGATTCTCCTCCATCCTTAAGAAGTCAGAGGAGTTCAGACGCTGCCTCCAAACCACCTTTTTGCATTATTGTAAATATTTTTGGGGTTCCTACCCTGGATGGCACAAACAGTTAACATATATGACTGTTCACCAGGAAGATTGATGGTTCAAGTTCACCCAGAGGCACCTCGAAAGAAAGGCCTAATAATCTAGTTTCCAGAAACCAGTCACTGAAAATCCTATGGAACACAGTTCTGACACACATGAGATTGCCATGAGTTGGCATCAACTGGACAACTAGTAACCAACATGGTGCCAGGCTATCAATTCAACAGTAGAACAACCCAGGTTCTCATGGAACTTAGAGTCTAACAGAGGAGATGGACAGGAGAATAGGCAGTCACGGTGCAGTGTGCCAACACAGCAATGATGGGTTCTCAGTGGGGAACAGTACCCAGTGAGGGTGAAGGTGGATCTAACTCTAACCACATATCTCAGGTGATTCAATGAAGTGAATGTGGGCAGGATGGTCTTTCATTCAATCCTTTCAGTGAATACATTTTTCATTTCTAGACATTCTGTTTGGTTGGTTTTCAAATGTGCCTGTGCTTTTCCTATTTTTTTCTCCTACTTTCTATTCTTTAGCTTTGCCTTTGTTTGAAACCTACCCTTCCCTTACACTTTCTTTCAGATTGCTCTATGAGCTCATGTTCTTGTAAGCATTAACTGCTGATTTTGCTCATTCACTTTTGGAATGTATCCTTGAGTGGTTTGTCTTTTATCTTTTTTAATTGTGAGGATTTTGTTTTATTAACTGAGATCCCTGAGTTATAGAAATATAGTAATAGTGCATCTTTACATTTACTTGTGCTGAGTCCCTGAGGGGTTTATTCTAGGATTTCTTTTTACTTTAATTTTGCTAGTTGGAGAAACTGTCCAATCATTTAAAAACTACTTACTGAGTATATGTATGTTCCTATATCCGGTGCCATGAGAGATAAGAATATAATACACAACAGTACAAAATGGCTGCTTTACATGGAACCACAGTCTAAAAAATTCAGATAGATAAAGAGTAAAGGTCTAATCATGTACATGTAGCCAAGTTCAGAAAGAAAAATGACCAGCTGGAGAAAATAGGGGGAGACTAAGCCCAGAGGAGAAAAAGGTTTATGTAAAGATGTTTCAGAAGGAAAGTGAGGGTAAGTCCCCCAGCTAGAAGCTGAAAACCATGACTTTTCTTGGATGGAGAGTTAGTACGATGTTGTAATGTTAGATTAGGTTGTGGATGCACTTGACTTAAAAGCTCTTGCTGAGAAAGCTAAACCAGTATCAAAGCAAAAAGAAAGTCATTGGATGCACCTTTGGGGGAGAAGGGTATTTGTGATGGAACTTGTATTTGAAGGAGAAAATACAGTGACTTAAATGGGTTAGGTTTTGCAGTGATTCACACCTGGATGAGTCTAAGTTAGGGAGGTCAGCCTGAGGGGAGCACAATAGGACCCTGGAGAGAAAGACGGAGACTGAAAGGATTTGGATGTGAAAAGTGTAAAGAGTGTTTGTTGTCAGCAGTAGCCAGCAGGGGCTGGATTTCTAGGCGGCAAGGCAGGAAAAGGGGTCAGCAGAGATGGCTTGTGAGAAACCTACACTAGTAATGAAAGTGGCTAAAAGGCAGATGAGATTTCTCAAAAGGCACTGGCAACAGGATGATAAGCACCAGTCTCAACTACTGTGTCCCTGCAGATTCTAGGACACTGGATTTATTTCCCTTTACACAGAAAATTTTATTATCCCAACCACAATGGGCAGGACACAGCTCTGGATATTTTGAGAGAATGGAGCAAAATTATCAACTTAAAAACTAGAGTTGGACTGCGAACCTCAAGGTCAGCAGTTTGAAACTACCAGCCATTCTGTAGGAGAAAGATGAGGTTTTCTGCTCCAGCAAAGATGTACAGCCTCGGAAACCCTTTATATTCCTTTATATCACTATGAGTCGGAACCCACTCAGCGGCACTTAACAACAACAATAACATGATGGCTGGGACTGCACTTGCCTTGGCAGGGCCAGGCAAAATGATTTCAAGAGTGGTGCTGTGGGCAAAGTCGTTTGAACTGCAAGATCGGTGGTTCAAGCTCACCAGTGGCTCCTTGGAAACCCTATACAGGGTCTCTATGGGTCGGAATCGACTCGATGGCACTTAACAACAACAATAACATATGGCCTGGAGTCCTGGTGTGATGCTGCAGGATAATGCATTGGATTGCAAGACCAGAGGTTCAAACCCACCAGCCACTCCACAGAAACTCTGTAAGGGTCGCTATGAGTTGGAACTAACTACGGCACTTAACAACAACAACATACCCCTGGTCTGGACGTTCCCCACCCCTGGAATATAGGTAAATACTGTTAACTGTCGGTACATGGAAGGAGTACAATCACTGCTATGACATGAAATGTTAAATGTGGGACTGATGATCTGTAAACTTTCACTTAATTCACAGTAAAAGGTTTAAAAAAAAAAAACCCTCTTTAAAGTGTTAAAGAGCAAAGATACCACTTTAAGGACTGAGGTTCGCCTGAAGCAAGCCATGGTATTTTCAGTCATCTCATATTCTTTCAAAAGCTGAACAATGAGTAAGGAAAACTGAAAGAGAATTGATGTATTTGAGTTACATATACCGTGGTTGGTTAGAGAACAAATCTGTCCTGGAAGAAACACAGAACTGTCCTCAGAAACTTTTCCTCACACAATTTGGACATTGTTGTCAAGAAGTACCAGTCCCTGCAGGACGTCAGGTTTGGTAGAAGGTAAGAAAAAGAGGAAGACCCTCAATGAGATAGATTGACACAGTGTCTGCAACAATGGGCTCAAACACAACAGCAATTGAGGATGGACTCAGGACCAGGCAGTGTTTTGTTCTATTGTACAAAGGGTTGCTAAGAATATGAATGGATGGCACCTAACACCACAGTGACAGAGATACCCGGGTACTTCAAGGGCAAGCAAACATGATAGCCATGGTCTCTAAGGGACGCACACAAAAGCTCAACAGGAAAAGAGGAGCACAAACAGGATTTGGTCTGGTGGGGAGGAAACTGGCGAAGGGGTAAGACTTGTTGTTCTAGGAGGATGGAAATTACAGAGTTCAGCGTATAGCCGTAGGCCTTGCTCGAACAAAATCCTTCTCAGGCCTTGCTATCTAGAATCTGGGCCGCAAAGGGGCGGGCCAACAACTATGGTGAAAGCTCTCAAAGCCAGGGATGGGGCTTGAAAGAGCCTCTGACCATATTGGGGGCGGCTGGCTTCCAGAGCCGCTGAACTCCGCCCCCAGGACTTTCTGAGGATTTCGGGGGAGCATATGGGATTGAGGCAGCCTCTCAGGGTCAGAGCCCAGGGCCTGACCATCTGTGACCCGTGAATGCACAACCTGCAGTCTAGCGTACGGCCAGGTCCCAGTCAGGTCCGTGAATCACAAGTAGCGTATATTACCCACCGTGGCAAACCCCTGTACTCCCTGCGTCTGCGAATGGTATACTCCAGCCCCGCCCACTGATTCCCGATGGGGCGGGGCGCTTGCCCATCATGTGATGGGGAGTGACCTCGCCGCCGGGAGACATGGGGGCTTCAGACCCGGAAGTAGCGCCTTGGGCTCGCCGCGGAGTAGCTGGGATGGCTGGTGCTGGAGCTGGAGCGGGAGCTCGTGGCGGAGCGGCGGCGGGGGTCGAGGCCCGGGCTCGCGATCCGCCACCCGCGCATCGCGCACATCCGCGCCACCCTCGGCCCGCGGCTCAGCCCTCTGCCCGCAGGATGGACAGTGCATCCGGGGGCCTGGGCTCTGGGGACAACACCCCGACCACCGAGGCGCTTTTCGTGGCGCTGGGCGCGGGTGTGACAGCGCTTAGCCATCCGTTGCTCTACGTGAAGCTGCTTATCCAGGTGGGAACCTGGGACGCCTTGGGAAGGTAGAGGCTGCTGTGAAGGTGACAGGCCGGGATCTAGACGAGCATTGGGGTGGGAGAGTCGATGACGGCAGAAC